AGCGTGCACAGACCTCTCTCTAGTATTATTTGAATACATTGTTTTATATATAAAATTAAATTTCATAGAACGCTTTAGATTCATTAACTGTCACATACATTTTCCATGAAACCAAATCATATTCAATAAAATTAATTTTGAGTAAAAAATAGAGCCGAATTCATGTAATTCCAAATGTTGTATTTACATATTTGAATGCGATAAAATAAACAATGTCCAATTCTCTTTTTCGTTTTGAAATATAAATTATTTACAAATACAACTATGTATTCGACATTATTTTTTACCTGCGGCTTCGTTTGCATAACTGGGTTATATTGAGCGATCAATAAAAGTATCATATGCACTTATTCATCCAAAATAAACCGTTAAACTGCTAAGAGTTATCAAATAAACTCAGTTTCATATCTATATAAATAACAATACAAACTGAAGTGTCAAAAGGCTGGTTACATAGCTCGAAAAACAACAACATATGGGGGAAGAAAGGTTCTTGAGTGGCGACTCCGTATAGTGACGCCTTTAAATGCAATGCAGGTAGTCAGTAGATGCAGGTGACTCAGGACCGTTCTTTATGGCAGTCTATGAGGGAAGCCTATGTCCAGTAGTGGACGGATAATGGATCAAATGTTGATGATCATGATCTACATAAATAGAAATCAAATACCGAAAGTATGTGTCGCTTCAGAACGAATGCACTTGTTTGGGTGATTCTTTTTACATTATTATGATTGCCTCGTCAGACCAAAATTTGTATGAAAAAGGAGCTTAAATATGATTTGAAAAAGTGGAAATTTTGTGTTAAAAATATCTCCATATTAAAAGTGAGTGAATAAGTGAAAGGGGACATTTGGTTACATTTTAATTATCGATACAACAGTGCGAAGACGGGGCGAACAACTAGTTCACAATATTAGTGAGCATTCGGAAATATACAGATAGCAAATCTAACAAAATGAGAACTAAAAATGAGAAAACTGTCAGTAGCAGTCAGGGACGTGACGTATGAGCCCTCTAGTGCAAACTCATAAGTAGTGCGCGGCAACCCTCGTCACTCGCTCACGTGAATTAGTGAGCGATGATAAACACGACCGAAAAAAAAACTAATGTTCAAATACCACGCTTGGAATAGCTTTCATAATTATTTTTACGAATACTATAAACTATTTATATAATGTATTTTAACTTTCGAGTACCTAAATGATAAAATTGTACAAGAACCGGACTGTAAATGGCAATAAATATGGATTAACTTAATTAGCCACTCGCTGACTAGTACGAAACAGGCCAGCGAGCCTAGTATAGTGTAGGCACTGTTTAGTAAATTATTTATAGAGTTTATATATACTGCCATATCCCACCTTTTATACCCCGAAACACAGCCATGCAAACACAACTGCTTCACGGTTGAAACACGAATGGTACAAAGGTATCCAAGCAAACGACTTTTCTACGAAGTCTCCCTCTGATAAATACATAAAGTATCCTATTTGTTAAGATATAACCATTTTTTTTATTTTCCAGGCGTTTATACGTGATTGAGTATAGAGAAGAAAGAGATATACAAACATCTTCACAAACTTACATACATACATACATATCTGTCACGCCTGTCTCCCATTAGGGTAGGCAGAAACAATGGAACGCCAAATGCTTCGATTCAAACAAACTTCTTTCGCTTCTTCCACATTCATCAATCTTTTCATACACGTTCGCCGGTTACGGGTACTTTTAATTTGGCCGTTCTTCAGCACGTCGCCTATTTGGTCAACATACGTCCGTCTAGGGCGGCCCTACCGACTTCACAAATTTCTACATATTTTATATTAGAAGAATGTAAAAGTTAGTTTGTTTATTTGTTACCTGTTGTCACCTTAAGCCTGAATCAAATTTGGTATATATCTTACATGGTAATTGGCACAGAGAAGAAGGTAAATCAAAAGAAATCACGCGGAAAGAAACGCAGCCAATAATTAATTAATAAGAGATTTTTTATCCAGCAATTTTTAAAAGACGAGTTTCTCGATTCGTCCGTATTTTTTATTGCTATACTGTATTATGTATTTGCCTATTCGTGACTGTTTTTAATGGTTATTTTTTACAATAAGGTTTACTACCGTGCTAGTCTTATATTAATTTAGCGACGATTAAAACAGCTGTTTGTCTTTACAGAGCAAAAGCCTGTTTGTTGTGAAACAAAGTCTACTTGTAAACACAATTCCCTGTTTTGAATTAGAATATTTTTAATTTAATTTTCTGCGTACAGGAAAGCGCTGTATGGGCCGATGGTCTGTTTTTTAATGGATAATAATGGAATTGTAACCTCGTCTGCGCTAACGGTATACACTGGCGGGGCACCAGTGAGGGATGATATGAATACACCTGTAATTCAACACGATTTTTTTTTATACGACTTAGAATGGCAAACAAGCTGACGACCCATCTGATGGAAAATGGTAACCGTCGCCTATAGACATGAGCAGTACCATAGACATAACAGAGTATAGTGTTTCGCCCACGATACTCCCCATGCGTTGCCATTCCTGAGGACTCAGGTGTTATTCCTCTGTACCCAGTAAATTCACGCCATATCCCATCCTTCAAACCGAAACACAGCCATGCAAACACAACTGCTTCACGGTTGAAACATGAATGAGACAGAGGTACCCAAGCAATCGACTTTTGTACAAAGTCTCCCTTTGGTAAGTCTCCAAGGGGGACCACGTGGAGTCCTGACATGGTATATTTCTAGCAATGGGATTGGATTGTCCGTATTACTAAAATCCCTTCCGCCCCTGGATCGATTGATGATAATCTTCGCTAGACAGTAGGAAGAAAGTGGATGGTAAAAAGCAGTGCACCGTTTCATTTAAAGCCATTGAGGGGGGCGGGGGTTATATCCATCAGAGGATCAGAATAGGATGACAATATTTACGTAATATCTCGTCGTTTATCGGTACGTTTTGACGCGGTTTTAGATGCACCTGGGAAATTTGAGTTAGATAGATAGATAGATAGATAAACACTTTATTTGAGCCATTTAACACACGTAAATTAATGAATAAAATGATACAATTTGATTATTTACATTTTTCAAATATAAAACAACATATAAAACATAAAATTAATATTGGAGATATGTTTTCACCAAGTGTGTCGCAGTGACCCAAAAAGGCTACAGCTCAGTGATACTTTTGCTTAAAAGCAAAGCACTGATTTTCAGCTGCAACCTGAAGCAAGGCTACACGGACGCGTGCAACAAACCCAGAGTATAACCTGTGTAACCAATTTAATAGCAAAAGGTAAAATTATATTATATAGACACATACTTATATAGATGATGCATAAATAATATAATATATTTCATTAATTAATTAAACATAATATTTAACATATATAAATAATAATTCGCCACAGTAATTATGTTAAAAGCAGTCGCTACCAGGCGACTAATCCAAATTTTTGCTTATTTAATAAATGTTGCTTTATCAATTTTTTAAAAATTGATTTGGATGCAGCTAGTCTCATTGGAGGGGGTATGTTATTCCAGCATTTAGTCGCCTGGTGGCGAAAACATCCGGTAAAAGCGACTGTCCTATGGTTATGAACCGCCAACGGGGGCCGCGTTGATCGAGACACATTACATCCATAATAATTGTTGAAAGTCGGAAATTTGAGTTTTTTATATAGATATTCAGGGGATTTAAATTTCAGAAGATCAAACATAAGTACAGCAAGGTGCAATCGTCTACGTGAGTCCATGTTCAACATAGATGCTTCATTCAAATATGGTGTAATGTGACTACGAGGTGAAACAACAAAGCAAAAGCGACAGCACGCATTCTGAATCCTCTGTATCATTCGACGAGATGAAGAAAGGAGACGAGGCCCGTAGACCAGATCACCATAATTTAATCTGGATAACACAAGAGATTCACAGAGTGTAATTCGTGATCTTTCTGACAACAAATTTCGTATCTTGTATAATATTTTAAGTCGATAAAAGCAATTCCGGACCAAACCCAACACATGGTTTTCAAAACGCAAATTACTGTCAAAAAGCACACCAAGGTTCTTTGCCTCGCAAACATGTTCAATATTTGTATCACCGATCTTTACAACTAGATTATTGTTCGATGCCTTCTCAATTTGATTTTTCGAGCCAATTACCATATATTTTGATTTTAAAGGATTAAGAACAAGAGCATTATTATTAGACCATGCAGCGATGCGATCTAAATCTTCATTCATTCAAGTTTCGAGTTCAAGAGTCAAGAGTTCGAGCAAATATGATTATTTGTCGACCGTCGATTGATGAACCACGCCCATGATTAGATGAACTGCGTTACTTACTGTATCTGCTATACTTTTAATAGGTTTCATTCATATATTCGTATATATTAGGAGAAAAGATGTCAGTATTAATTCTGTGCCCCGTCTGGACATTGTCAAACACGGTACAAGTCATCAGGCATTAGTGTTATTTAATAAATTACCTGTCCAGTTAAAAATTATACAGACTCAATTCTTTTAAGACTAAATTACGATCCCTTTTACTGGAGTAATGTTACTACTCCGTACACGATTTCTGTACTGTTGATTAATGTAAATAATTCAAAATAAATTTGACACATATATTATAATACAATGAAGTTGACATTGTTTATTGCAAAATATATTTATTATTATTGTTTATTTGCAACCTTAAGATTGTGAGGAATATTGTTAAAAAAGAACATAAACTTTTAAAATATTTTTTTTTTGTAATTATATTCGTTATAAAGGAATATATATATTTTTTTGCAAACAATCAAATCCAAATCTTTTTACCGCCTGATAGAAAGGGTGTAACCGTCGCCTATAGACAAGACTCTGCCAGTGTATACCGATAGCGCTTTCAGGGTTACCATTCCACTATCATCCATTAAAAAAATACTAATTTATTAACTTAAAGCCGCGGAATATATTTATTAATAATAATTAGATATATTTTGTTTCAGGAATGGAGGAACTTACCGTTGCAACACCCACCTTCGGTGCAAATGAATTAAACTACTGATTTAACACAAAGGTAAGCAATATGAACACTACTGTCAAATAATAACTATCGTGAGTTATACTGTATAGTTATTATTAATGTTGAGTTTACTCATCTTTTAAGATTAGGGATGTTCGTCCAGTTTCGAACTCTACATCAGCCCTTATTCATGAGCGCGATTCACGGCTGTGTCACGAGCGGCATTTCGTGCATTAAAATTTTTAAGTGTCTTCCTAAAAAGTTTGAATATTTTATACTTTTATATGTTGATGATGATATCGACCGTTATTTTTTATTATATAAGGTAAGAAACCAACGATTTTCCAAATTCAAACTAGCTTTATTCAAAAAGACTTTTTTACAAACACTTTTAAATCGTCAATTTTTTTTTAATCTACTACAGGGTTCGGAAGGTTGTTATCTGTTGATAAGAGCCCACAAGAGACTCAATTACTCTTTTAAATCTCTGTTAACATTATGTCTATTATGTCTAAAATTACATGGTCGTTAAAAGCCAGTGCATGATCGACTAATACCATGTACTTTTGTCATTCAAGTAATCGTTTAGTGTGTTTTGTTCAATAAGTGTTTTTTTTTTTTAATAACAGTTTTAAACTTATTAAAACGCAGATCAGCAGGCAAGCAAACACACTTTCATATTTATTATATTGTAGTAGTAAAAAATTATTAGCAAGCAGTGAGAGCTTTTTAACGTTTAATTGTGGTCCGATGGTCCTTAAATCGAATCTCAGCCTAAATCTTTGAATGTTTCTAATTTATTATTGAATAATTTAAAAATTATTATCACTTGCTTTGTGACATAAAAACTTTTCACACCAGAGGGCGCTAAATTCAGTAGTTATATTATATAGAAGGTAACTTTTCCTACTCTATTACAGCGACTATCCTTTGCCCCTTTTAAGATTATGAAATGACATTATTGCTTTATATTATTACCACATAAATTTACCGATATAAAGGGTTATACAGCTAACTTTATAATAATAGCAACACTTTAGACATGAACTAGTTAATGACGCCGTACTGAAATTATTATGAAAGTTACAAACGAAAGTGTTTATTGCACACATAATTTTAGAGCTCACAATCGCTTGGCGTTAAAACATTATCCCGTGTATTGAAGAAAAAAACATTGATGTAAGAAAACCAGATTACATTTTAGATATTCAAGGTTCGAGATCGCCTTTAAAGTAAAGTAGGGTTGGGCAATATATAGCAATATATATATTTGTGTATACATATACATATACATATGTTAAAAGTTTGTTATCCAAAAAATAATATTGGATAACAGTGTTTTAAGGTATTCGAAAATTGAAATCTGATCGATATATGCAATATTCAAATGGGGTGATGACCTTTTTCCCACCATCAATGTCCAGAGAAACCCAATATATATATATCGGATCGGTATCCATAGTCATTAGTCACTTATTCAAAAAACAATGTACATTGTGTCTGAAATAAGGGATAAACATACAAAAATCATTACATTAATCTGAATATTACAACCATCCAATAACTATAATAATAACAATAAATTATAATAAATAAATTCTGTAATAAACAATGTCAACTTCATCGTAATATTATATACATATGTCAAATTTATTTTTAATTATTTACATTAATCAACAGTACAGAAGTCGTGTACGGAGTAGTAACATTACTCCAGTAAAAGGGATCGTAATTTAATCTTAAAAGAATTGAGTCTTTGTATAATTTTTGACTGGACAGGTAATTTATTAAATAACACTACTGCCTGATGACGTGTACCGTGTTTGACAATGTCCAGACGGGGCACAAAGTTAGTACTGACATCCTTCCTCCTAGTACTCTCCCGATTTTTTCTATTTTGCTCTGTTTCAGTTTTCAGAAGGACCTTTACAGAATCAGTAAGAACAACATATTCCCCATACCTTCTTTAAAGACCGCAACATCGTATAAAACACGACATTATTTTACCAGAGGGAGACTTTGTACAAAAGTCGATTGCTTGGGTACCTCTGTCCCATTCGTGTTTCAACCGTGAAGCAGCTGTGTTTGCATGGCTGTGTTTCGGTTTGAAGGGTGGGATATGGCGTGAATTTACTGGGTACAGAGGAATAACACCCGAGTCCTCTGGAATGGCAACGCATGTGTAGTATCATGGGCGAAACAGTAAACTCTGTTATGTCCATGGTACTGCTCATGTCTATAGGCGACGGTTACCACTTTCCATCAGGTGGGCCGTCAGCTTGTTTGCCATTCTAAGTTGTATAAAAAAAAATATTAATTCGAATATTCTACAAACAGGAAAAAAAAAACAACAATGTAAGTTTATCTCTAAATAGTATTAAAGAAAATTACAGTCTACACCTGTCTACCTCTTCGTTTACTTCTTATAAACCGCACACTTTGTTTTGGATTTTCTTATCATTTATATATCTGTCTGTCTAATTCTATATCCGTGTGAAACCGGAACAGATCTCTAGTTTCAACTAAAATACACATACAAACTGATTTCAATAGCATCTTCCATCTCTATCGTCGTTTAAGCTACTCTTCGCCCATTGTTAAACATAAGCCCTCTTACGCCACCCCAAACATTATACTAAATTTCATTACGATTGGTTGAGCCGTTGGGGCGCCGAGAGACAAACAAACAAACTTACAATGTTTGTAATATTGTTTATTAAGAATTTAATTACTGCAGACTCTTCCAAATGTTATAATTTAATATTTTTATTAGATACTAGTTTTATATCGCTACTTCGTTTGCGTGACTGGAGTATTTTGACTAGAGTAAGAAGTAGCCTATATCTTTTTCCATATTAAATATTACGTGTATGCCAAATTACTTGACGATTGTCTAAATAATTAAGGCACCAAAAACAATTATAATTAGGTTAACAAACAAACTCACTACTCTGTTTTTGATATTAGTATAGAAGTAAATATGATTTTTTTTTTTATAATATCACATTTTGATGTAACTGCTCAAAGACATATTTTAGATAGATAGATAGATACTCTTTATTGTTTCCTCCAAAAGATTACAATAGTAAACTTATTATAAATATAAATAATAACAAGAAATAATCACAGTGAGAAAACAATGGGCGACCTTATCGCTAAGAGCGATCTCTTCCAGGCAACCTTTGGATGGAGAGGAGTGATTATAAACAGTTTGATCACAGGCACGATGAAGATCCTATTATTTCTAAATATTTATCTCATCATCATCATCATATTAACCGTCAACTGTTCAAGGCTGAACATAGATGAGACCTATTGGGAGGTTCCGTTAGTAGTTGCTTGACAGACAGGTTGGCTACTGCGATTAGTGATGTTTTAAGAGAAACACAGCTACCCTTCTGTCGATCATTAAGTTCCCTTAGTCGCCTCTTACTACACTCACGGGAAAGGAAAGGAAAGGAAAGGTGGTCTATTCTACTTCGGGACCACACGACAATATTTTATCTGAATTTAGTAGATTGATTTTTTTTTAATACATTCTCATCATAATTATAGAAAACATGTTCATTGAATGAAAGCTAAAGAAAAAATATAGACTACCTTATAATGAGATAGTGTAAGTCATTTTCAATTTATTAAAACATATTTTTTAATATATAAAAGCAATTTAAAGGAACTTTAATATGTTTGCAATTTTATACTTTTACTCACTCTGCGTGTTCTACCGCCTGTACAATGGATTGTGCTCAGAGGAATTGTTCAATATGATGCCCACAGCCACTTTCTACCATCGTACGGCTCGCCATCGGCAGGGAGTTCATCCTCATGTCCTACAGCCTCAATGGTCGCGTACTGCGCGGTTTCAGAGATGTTTCCTCCCACGAACATTCAGGTTGTGGAATGAGCTTCCTGCCGAGGTTTTCCCAAGAGACTACAGCGTGGGGTTCTTCAAAAGGGGGGTAAAGAGGTTTCTTCAGGGTCGGCAACGCACGCGTAATACCTCTGGTATTGCAGGTGTTCATAGGCTACGGTAACCACTTACCATCAGGTGGGCCGTATGCTTGTTTGCCACCTCAGTGGTATAAAAAAAAGAGAGATTTTATAAAAATAAAAGGTCAGGTGGGAGTTGAACTCACACACACGAAGGTTTCACATGATTGAGATAAAAGGAGCTTTATTACAAATCCCATACAAAATAGATACCTTACAGTTATTGATACTTTAATTCGAATGTCTTATTTTAGTTTTAAGGGCTTTTTGATTTCTCAAAAATAATGCTAGTTTGAGATTTTTTTTTTCGTTTAATATTAACAAATACTTTTAATTTTTCAAATTTTGTCTTCTAAAATTTCTAAGATAAGGGGAAAGGGCTTTTTTCTCACTATTTCTATTATAAGTAAAAAACTAAGAAATGAATATTTTATTAAATTAGGTGTTATCTTGCGGAAGTCCATATCATTGGTTATTTGATTAGAATTATTTCCATTATATTATACCAGAGGGAGACTGTACAAAAGTCGATTGCTTGGGTACCTCAGTCCCATTCGTGTTTCAACCGTGAAGAAGTTGTGTTTGCATGGCTGTGTTTCGGTTTGAAGGGTGTGATATGGTGTGAATTTATTGGGTACAGAGGAATAACACCTGAGTCCTCAGGAATGGCAACGCTTGGGGGTATCATGGGCAAGACAGTATACTCTGTTATGTCCATGGTACTGCTCATGTCTATAGGCGACGGTTACCACTTTCCATCAGGTGGACCGTCAACTTGTTTGCCATTCTAAGTTGAACAAAAAAAAATCGTTTAATTCCGCTACTATTAGTATGTGTGTGACTGCCAACACTCGAAGATTGACCACCACTATTATTACCGGAAGTTTCACAACCTTTCGCATTAGCCATCAATCTTGGACTGCCATTTTGTTCGCGCACGTTTTGCGACACGTGTTTTACCCCAAACGAGGCATCTACAGGCAAATTAATAGATCGCTGCTCGGAGCCTAGTGTCAAGCTTTCAGCACCCAAATCATACAAATGTACGAATATAGCCGTTTCAT